GTCAAGAAACGGTACTACGTAAGCAGCAATCCCCACGTCGACGTCGACTACAGCGCGGTTTACGAGCCCATGCTCGAGCCAACGCTGTTCGACGCCAGCGACGAGAATGGGCCCTAGTAGTTATCAGATGGGTTTGCCTGGCGCCTGCAGGAAACACAGAGGGACAGTACAACTTCGGCAGATAGTGACAACATGTCCTCGCCGCCCTATCCATACCCAGAGCCGACTGTCGTCGCCGACGTCCACGCCGTCCTCCCTCGGCGCCCTTGCCGCTGCGGGGGGGGGGTCTGAGCCGGGCCCGCTCCCCCCCCCTCCCCCCGCCCCTGGTCGTGGCTCCCGGTGTGACTGGGTCACGCTGGTGGCGGCTCCTCCTCCTCCTCCTCCTCCTCCTCCTCCTCCTCCTCCTCCTCCTCCTCCTCCTCCTCCTCCTCTTCTCCCCTCCTCCTCCTCCTCCTCCTCCTCGTCCTCCTCCTCCTCCTCCTCCTCCTCCTCCTCCTCCTCCTCCTCCTCCTCCCCGCGTCGCCCCCCGCCCGCCTGCTCGCTCCCCGCGCGACTGGGCCACGCGGGCGGCGGTGCCCCGGGCGCGCGGGGAGCCGAGCCGGGGCCCCCCAGTGGGAGGCGCCTGGAGCGGGCCCCGTGGGTGGCCCAGCCTGGCTTAAGTCGGGCCTGTCCCTCTACAGGAGGGATAGCCAAAAATAGTCAACAAAAACATCGGGGACGATCTCTGGACTACTTTTGAGCATGTTTGAGCAGTGTTTTGAGTCATGGAAAAAACACGACGGGAGGTTTTTGGCTATTTTCGGCCTCCGGGGGCCCTGACCGGCCTTCACCGTCAAAAAACGACTCAGTATGAAAAACCGGTCCCGGGGAAAGTGTCCGGACCTCTTGGGGGTCGCGTCATTAAAAATCATGACGTCGGGGTTCTGGGTCTACAGGAGGGATGTTCAAAAATAGTCAACACATAGTCTGGGGACGATCTCTGGACCAGTTTGGAGCATGTTTGGCGTAGGTTTTCTAGGTATCTTGCTGAGTTTTCGTCCACAATCCCCCTGTAGGGGGACAGGCCCGACCTAAAGCATGGCTCCGGGCTCCTCGTCTGGCTCGCCCCCTCCCCGCGAGAGGGGGGGGGGGCGCGCGCAGGGCCCTCCCCGCGCCGTGCGCGGCCGCGTCCTTGCCCTGCCCGCGGCGCGCGCGGGGCCAGCGGGTGAGGCCCACCTCCGTCGCGCGCGCGCGCGTCTGCCCGCTTCCCCGGGCGTGCGCCGGCGGGGGGCGTGGCGCCCCCCCGGCGCCTGGCTCGGCTGGGCGCGGAGGGGTGGCCTCTCGCCGGAGTGCCCCTCGCGTCCCAGACCCCCTCGAGAGTCACGACAAGATCACGACGCGAGGCTTTTCGCTATGTTCGGCCTCCGGGGGCCCTTACCAGCCCTCAGGACCGTCAACAAAACGACTCGGGATGAAAAACCGGTCCAGGGGAATCGGTCCGGAGCTCTGGGGGTCGCGTCATGAAAAAATCATGATGTCGGGGGTCTGGGGTGCGGGCTCAATGGGGCACCCCGGTCGCTGAGCGCGAAGCGGCAGCGGCGGCTTGCGCGCTCGGCTTTGGCCCCCTCGCGTCCCCCCTGAGGCCGCGCAGCAACGGTCACTCTGGCCCAGGGTTCACTCGGGCGTGTCCCTCTGCAGGAAGAACATTCAAGAATAGAAGAAAAATAGCCAGGGGACGATCTTCCGATTATGTTTGAGAGCATTTTTGGAGCATTTTTTCGATTTTCCCTTCAAAATCTGCCTGTAGGGGGACATGCCCGAACGAAGCCTCGGGTCACTCTTGCGTAGAGTCGACTGGCTCACCGGACCACCCTGCTGCCGCAGTGGCGGGCCACGGGCACCGTCCTGGATGGCGGCGGAGCCAGGAAGGGGCCCGGCCCCGAGGCTGGGCAGTGCTCGGGCGCGTGCATGTCATTCTCGGGCCGGCAGCATCTTGGACCACCCTGGGGAGAATCGACTACGCGTAAGAGTGAGCTTTCGCCGGAGTGACCTTTGGTGCGGGCCCAAGAGGGGTCCCCCGATCGCTGAGCGCGAAGCGGTAGCAGCGGCTTGCGCGCCCAGGCTTGGCCCCCCCGCGTCCCCCGTTTTGCCGCGCACCAAAGGTTTACCAGCCTCGAACGTATCCCTGTCCCTAAGGTTGACACGCCAAAAGTCGATGACAATCTTAGGGATCCGCCCTCAAAAAATAAGGGAATCCCTAAGATTGGCATCGTGATGAGGAGGTGCCCAGCATAGGGATAGGGATGTGTCCCAGGCTGGTAAAAGGTCACTCTTACCCAGGGTCGCTCTTGCGTGTAGCCGAGAGAGAAAAAGAGAGGCGCGCGAGCTCGAACAGGCTGGGGAGAGTGGGCGTCCGAGCGAGGGCGAGGAGGGGACATCGGGTCCCGAGGGTTTTTTCCGCCGTGCTCGGGCTCCTGGGGCCCTCCACGGGCGCCTACAGCTCGAGGTAAGTTCAGAAAACAGACATCACCTGCAAGCATGATACTTATGAGCCGATCCCGTCTGGCCTAGATCTCGAACTCAATTCAGGAAGCGCACGTCGTGTCTCGTGAACTATTACAGCGCGCATAGTGTTTGAGTCGCAGCAGGCCGAATCCAGACGTCTATATCCCGGGGCCGTCAGCAAGAAGATCCAGGATGAAAGCTGAAAAGGTGGTCTTGCAGGGAGGGGCCCAGGGTCTAGGACCGTTTCCCTGCGGGCCCGTGTGTGCCAGGGCAAGAGTTTGGCGGGTGGGGGGAGTAGGACGGGTTGGAGGGGGAGAGGGGCGGATGGTTGGAGGGTAGAGCATGAGCAGAAGCAGCAGCTGCAGGAACATGACGAGGAACAGGCGCCTTAGAGAAGCATCAGTCGGGGTAGGGGCAGGAAAGGAAGGAGGGGCAGGAGCACGAGGAGGGCGAAATCATATAAGTTCGACGAGAAGGAAGAGGAGGCATTGGGAGGACAGCCGCTAGGAGTAGCAGCAGGAAGAGGAGGAAACCAAGGAGGTGGAGGACGAGGGATATGCGGCGAAGGGGAACCAGCATTGAAGGTGGCTAGGACTTGAATGCATGTCGGCAACAGCAAGGAGGAGGCAGAGGAGGGCAGCAGGGACGAGGACGCAGTGAGAAAGGGATGGATGGCGGAGGGCGGAGGGATGAGAGAGAAGGGACGAGAGAGGAGGAGTGATGATAGAAGGATGGGGAAGGGAGGGATGAGGATGAGGATGAGGATGAGGAGGAGGGGGAGGAGGACGTGGAGGTGGAGGAGGAGGAGGAGGACATGGCCGACGACGATGATGATGATGATGATGATGATGATGATGATGATGATGATGATGATGATGCTGATGATGATGATGATGATGATGTCGATGATAATGCTGATGATGCTGCTCATGATGAAGCCGATGCTGCTTATGAGGATGATGATGCTGATGATGATGAGGATGATGCTGATGCTGATGATAAGGATGTTGGTTATGATGATGCTGATGATGGTGACGCTGAGGATGCTGCTGATGATGATGATGATGCTGATACTGTTGCTGCTGCTGATGGGGATGATGATGCTGATGCTGATGCTGCTGCTGATGATCACATGCTAGCGATGCTGATGAATATTATGAGGATGCTGATGCTGATGCTGACGCTGATGCTGCTTCTGTTGTTGATGATGATGCTGAGGTTGGTAATGATGATGCTGACGCTGTTGCTGCTGATGATGATGAGGCTGCTGATGCTGCTGATGATGCTGATGAGGATCGCGATGTTGGTGATGCTGCTGCTGATGATATTGCTGGTGATGATGATGATGATGGTGATGATGATAATGATGATGATGATGATGATGATGATGATGATGATTCGGATGCTGCTGATGCTGATGCTTATTATGATGCTGCTGTTGATAATAAGGATGCTGATGCTTCTGTAGATGATGATGATGCTGATGATGATGATGCGTATGTCGAAGCTGATGCTGATGATGACGATGATGATGATGATGATGATGGTGATGATGATGTTGTTGATGATGATACTGATGATGATGTGAATGATGAGGCTGACGCTGCAGCTGTTTCTGTCGATGCTGACGCTGATGATGATGCTGATGATGATGGTGTTGATGATGGTGCTTATGCTGACGCTGCTGCTGCTGCTGATAATGGTGATGATGATGATGATGATGATGATGATGATGATGATGATGATGATGATGATGATGATGATGATGATGATGCGGCTGCTGCTGATGATGAGAATGACGATGATGACGATGATGAGGCTGCTGACGGTGATGCTGCTGATCGTGATGATGGTGATGGTGCAGACGATGCTGAGGTCGATGCTGATGCTGGTGCTGGTGCTGCTGCTGATGATGATGACGACGATGATGAAGATGATGAGGATCAGGAGGAGGATGAAAATGAGGAGGAGGAGGAAGAAGAGGACAAGAAGGAGGAGGAGGAGAATGTGGAGGAGGATGAGGAGGAGGAGGAGTTGCAGGAGGAGGAGGAGGAGGGTGAGGGGGAGGAGGAGGCGGAATAGAGGGAGAGGAGGCAATAGTTAGTGGGCGACGAGAAGGACAATGACGAGGATGATTATGAAGATTATGATGATGCTGCTGATGATGCTGCTGCTGATGATGATGATGATGACGATGATGATACCGATGATGATGATGATGATGATGATGATGATGATGATGATGATGATGATGATGATGATGATGATGATGATGATGATGATGATGATGATGATGATGATGATGATGATGATGGTGATGATGGAGAGGAGAGGAGGAGGAGGAGGAGGAGAGGAGGAGGAGGGAGGAGGAGGAGGAGGAGCAGGAGGACGAGGAGGGAGGAGGGCGAGCCCAGGTGCGCCTACTGCCCCAAGTGCTTCGTGTCCTGGGACTACCTCCAGCAGCACGTCCTGCGGCGGCACCCCGACGCCCTCGCCGGCCCCGGCGAGGCGGCCGCCACCCTGCGGCCGGGGGCGGCCTCCGCGGGCGCGTGCGGTCTGCCGCTCCTGGGCGCGGCCGGCGCGGTGCCCTCGCCGATCCTCGGCGCGTCGGCGGGTCCGAGGCGGGAAACTACAAAACAAGTAAAGATCCCTCCTACTGCTCCTCCTCCTCCTCCTCCTCCTCCTCCTCCTCCTCCTCCTCCTCCTCCTCCCCGCTCTTCCCTTTCTACCTCTTCGTTCCCCTCCCTCCGTGGTCCCGCCTCCCTTCTCCTTCCTTGCCCTCCCTCCTCCCTCCTCGCTCCTCTTTCCCTTCGTCCCTCCTCCGCCCTCCTCCCTCCTCCTCCGCCCTCCCTCCTCAGGAGGGAGGGCGAGGGCAGAGGAGGATCCCTGCTCCTGCTCCTCCTCCTCCTCCTTCTCCTCCTCCTCCTCCTCCTCCTCCTTGTCATCCTTCTTCTACGTTGGGCAAGCGTTGGCTTGCTTGATCAGTCGCGTCTGAGTGGCAACGGTCCGAGAACGGAGCGCAACATTCGATACCATAAAAGGTCAGGCCCTGGTACTACAGCAGCGCGCGTCGGCGATATCCAATACATGCAAGACAGTTGGGATCAGCAGAGATTCAAGAGGATGCTGCCCTGGGCGTGGCAAAGATGACCCCCCTGATCTATATCCCTCCGTTCCCCCTGACATCTCCGAGAAAGCGCAGATGTAAAGATGCCCTCGAACACCGTGCGCGGTAACTAGAATGCCGATGCGGTGGGCGGCTCCACGCCCGCCGCATATCCGAACCATTCCGCCCGAAGCTCAGCGCAGGGTCAATTCACAGATGCTCTCGAAGTCCCTCCACCACCTCCATCCTCCTCCTCCTCCGTCTCCTCCTCCTCCTCCTCCTCCAGCTCTGTCCTCCATCCTCCTCCTCCTCCTCCTCCTCCTCCTCCTCCTCCTCCTCCTCCTCCCCCTTAGATGCCTCCACGGGGGTGAGTACGGGCTCGGCGACTGGATGCCCTCACTGAGAGCCATCGCCCGAAGCTGTGGGGACCTTCGCCGAAGGCCGAAGCGGCCAACACGCTTGCAACGGTCGACACGTACGGTGCGTTAGCGCTCAAATGACGTAGGCCTGTAACTGAGAACTGGCCCTATCGCCATGCAGTCGACGCCCTCACCAGGGGCGGTTGGTTAAAGTTGCGGGGCCAATGTACCGATGCCACTGAGTGCGAACACCTATGCAGCGTAGAAAAGCCAGTTGCCGTATAAGTTGTAACAGGTTGGCGCAATACTTGGTTGGCCTGTTGAATGCCAGGTCGTCTTGAAACGACTGTTATCTCGAGGCGTCAGTGGGATGCGTGAGTAGGCATGGCAGCACGGACCCCCACCCACCCACCTCCATACCTCCGACGTCCCCCCCCAACTCCTAGCCACCACCCCTCCTCCACGCAACAAATCGGAATGAGTCCACGCCCCTAGTATGCTAAGACGGGGCTGGGTGAAACGCCAATCCGTCCGTGCCGTCCGCACGCTGCGCTTGCTGGACCTGCCTCAGAGCTGACCTCCGCAGGCATTGGTGATACGAGCTCGTCTCCTAAGGCCAGCCGAACATCTCAAAGCAGTTGCAGCTAACGTCGAAGTCGATATGATTGTCAAGCAAAGCGCTGTTTCACGGCATTCTAATGTTGAGATGACGAACGGATCGATGAAACACGTGACAAAAGCGTCCAGAGAGACAAGGGGGAATGAGAGATCTATCAACCAGGCTACAAGAGGGATACTGCAGGGGGGATGAGGACGAGAGGCTCCCAAGATAAGGGCGCGTTCGTATCTTCAAAGCTCGGCGTGGCTGCTGACCAACACGGGCCAAATCCCTTACAGCTGAGGGTCATGTCGCAGCCTCCTCCTCTCTCTGTCGTACCTTCCCCACCCCCACTTGCAGCACAACGGTGGCCACACTCCGTTGCGACAGAATCTCAGATAGCAACTTTGATTGCTACAACGCACGGCAAACAGCGAATCATGGCGCAACATCTTCGCGACAAGGCACTGTAGAGAGAGCGTTCTGGGACGCTCTCAACACGCTCCGACCGGCGTTGGAGTCCGAGTGGGCCCGTCTGGACGGGCAGTCGGTCGGACGTTTGACATACCGGCAAATTGCAGAGGCTCTCGCATGTGGCGTCGTCCTATCTAAATTTGCCCCCCGTCTTCCCGCCACTCACGCACGCTCGCGCAACACACACAGACACACACAGACACACACACACAGACACACACAGACACACACAGACCCACACAGACACACACAGACACACACACAAACACACACAGACGCACACAGACTCACATACAGGTACGCACACAGACACACACAGACACAAACACAGACACACAGACACACACACACACAGACACACACAGACACACAGACACACACACACAGACACACACACACAAACACACACAGACACACACACACACACTCAGACACACACAGACACACACACAGACAAACACACACAGACACACAGACAGACACACATACAGACACACACACAGGCACACACACAGACACACAGACAGACACACATACAGACACACACACAGACACACACACAGGCACACACAGACACACACACAGACACACACACACACAGACAGACACACACAGACAGACACACGCAGACACACACAGACACACACACAGACACACACAGACACGCACAGACACACAGACAGACACACAGACACACACACACACGTTTACAGACACACACAGACACACAGGCACACAGACATACAGACACACAGACACACAGACATACAGACACACACACAGACACACAGACACACACAGACCCACACACACGGACACACACACACGGACACACACACACACACAGAGACACACAGACACACACAGACGCACACACAGACACACACAGACACACACAGACACGCACACAGACACACACAGACACACACTCAGACACACACAGACACACACACAGACACACACACAGGCACACAGACACACACACACAGACACACACACTGACACACAGGCAGACACAGACAGACACACAGACAGACACGCGCACATACACACAGACACACATACCTATACGACCACCCTTCGGGTGAACCAACGTCTCACTCGATCGGTCTCACTATTGACCTCACTATCGGACTCGCTCGATCGATCCCGCTCGATCGATCTCACAATCGATCTCACTCGATCTACAGTGGGGGCGCTGAAGAAGGAACCCTTTTCGTTGGGGAGGGGCTCGGTGTTCCTTGATTGTTTCAAAGTTTGCCTCGGGTTTCCCCGAGGTTTCCATGGGAAATCGAGGTTAAACTTACGGGACAAAGGGGCCTCGTTCCTTATTTAGGGTTCCTTAGGTCAACGCCTCGACTGTATTTCATTCGATCAATCTCACAATCTATCTGACTATCGATCTCACAATCGATCTCACTATCGATCTCACTATCGATCTCACAATCGATCTCACATTCGCTCTCACTATTGATCTCACTATCGGTATCACAATCGATCTCACAATCAACGTCATCATCATCATGAACGTCATCATCGTCATCAACGTCATCAACATCATCATCACCATCGGGGCACCATCCTCATCATCACCTCATCACCATCAACATCATCACAATCGGGACACCATCATCATCATCATCATCATCATCATCATCATCATCGGAACACCACCAACATGATCATCATCTCATCATCATCATCATCATGAACAACATCATCAACAACATCATCAACATCACCATCATCATCGGGACACCATCGACATCATCAGCAGCATCACCAGCATCAGCATCATCATCATCATCGGGACACCATCATCGTCGTCACCATCATCACCATCACCATCATCATCATTGGGACACTCATCATCATCATCATCATCATCATCAACATCGGCATCATCATCACCATCATCGGGCCACCATAGTCAAAATCATCATCACCACCTCATCATCACCATCATCAACATTATCAACATCGGGACACCATCATCGTCATCATCATCAGCATCATCATCATTGGGACACCATCATCATCACTATTAGCATCAACAGCATCATCATCAGCCTCATCAGCATCATCTGAACACCATCATCATCAGCTTCGCCATCATAATCATCATCTCATCGTCATCTCATCATCATCAACATCATCACGATCATCAACATCATCATCACCATCATCGGGACACCATCATCACCATCAGCAGCATCATCACCAACATCATCATCACCCGGACACCATCATCATTACCACCATCACCATCATCATCTTCACCAACATCGTCAACATCATCATCATCATCATCATCTTCATCACCATCATCATCATCATCATCATCGGGACACCATCATCATCACCACCAGCACCATCATCATCATCATCAACATCATCATCGTCATCATCATCGGGACACCGATGGGACCCCGGCGGGACACCGGCGGGACACCGCGCGGCACCGGCCCCGGGAGAGGAATCATTTGGGTTGCCGCGCCTCAGCCGGAGGCGGGACACCGGCGGGACACCGCGCGGCACCGGCCCCCGGAGAGGAATCATTTGGTCCAGCCGCGCCTCAGCCGGAGGAGACTTTCTTCTCGCCCGCCCACGCAGCTTCGCCTCGCCCGCACGCACAGTACGCACGAACACGAAACCGAAACTGATTTCGCGGTAGGGGGGCTCTCCGTTCCACTTTGATCTCACCCCCTCACCTCCGACACACAGACACACAGACACACAGACAGACACACAGACAGACACACAGACAGACAGACACACGGACACACAGACACACAGACACACAGGCACAGACACACAGACACACAGACATGCAGACACACAGACACACAGACACATAGACACACAGACACACCGACACACAGACAAACAGACACACAGACACGCAGACAGACACTCAGACACACACAGACAGGCACGCAGACAGACACACAGACACACAGAGACACACACACTCAGACA